TAACTAGTTTCCTTGAAGACTAAATTCCAACAAATAGCTTCCAACTATATATATAAAAGTATATTTTAGTAATATATTTTTTCCTACACTGATTTGTGGAAATAATTGATAAGTCATTATCACATATGAAATGTTACTATCAAATTTCATCAATAAAAATACAAGCATTCAGAATATTTACAGTTTAATGTTATAAATGACACTTGATATTAGATTTCTAGAAAGTGGTTCTTTTTCTCTATTCAAAATCTGATATGAATAAATTACACCTTATAATGTATTGGGAACTCATAGAATGAATTAAAAATGGGAATTTAAAAGGTGATTGAACTAATAATGTTGTAACAATCTTACTTAAATATTTCATTATTTCTCTATTTATTTACACAAATGAACTTCATTTACTGAGACCATTTTGTAATGTATTTTATAGAAGTTTTAAACTACTTTTTAATTTTAAAAAAATTGATCCACATTGAGATTCTATTAAAAGAAAGTCATTCGTTTATAACACTCTTACTAAATTTGTTGATCAATTATAAGTTTTTTGTCACTAAGTGACTAAATAGAACTGATTTGCTTAAATAATTTGGAAGTCTATGAGAGAAGATTGATGAATTCAATTGTGGTATATATCTATATAGACTTCGATTTGATAATAAAGATTATTTTTAGTCAAAATAGTTACACACCATTAAAAGGAACAATCTCATATTCAAGTCCTATTTTAAGTACACATTTTTATGTGATCATTTCACCGAAATCTCAAATTATATATATCCTGGAGTTCTAGTGAGAAGCAATGACCAGTAGATTTCAACCTGGTCTGTTGTGAGACAGTAACTCACTGGTGGAAATGGTGGATGTGTCGCTCAATTTCGTGAATAAGTTGAAGTTAGACATTAACACCGTTGGATGCCGACTCAATGGTCTAGTGGTTAAGCGCTCTCATGCGAGACGGATAAGTTCTGTGTTGGAATCTCGCGACGTGCGGTTGTGGATGCGCACTGCTGAGGAGTCCCACAATAAGACGAAACGCCCGTCTAGTGTTTCATAGTTTTCCATGGTGGTCTAGCTTCAATTGATTCACGATCTCAACTATTGACATACACATATACTTTTTTTAAAATGTGTGGATATTGTAAAATCTAAATCTTGGTCGTGTGAAGTTTTTTGTATCATTAACCAAGATACATGATGATTATGACAATTAGATATGTAAATTGTAAATATTATTATCGGAATTAAGAAAAAAAAATGAAATACTTTCCATGTGTTTGTACTTATAAATTATATATGCGCGGGTATATTATTAATATACAAACAGAATAAAAGATGAATCCGAATTGTTTTCATTAGAAAATTAAGGCTAAAAATCCGAAAGATATGAACAGCTGTGTTCATCTTTAATCTATCACGTATACATATATATCATATTTATTAACAATATAATTATATACACTTAGGTAAGGTTTATGAGACGCTACTCTAATGAATGCATAAAATTGAAATGTAAAATCACATAAAAAAAAACACATTCTTTTTCATAATTTTGCTCCTTTGAAAAAAAAATCATTCTCTCCAGATGTCTTCGTCTATGTGTATTCGTATGGGTGAATGTGTACATGTTAAATTTTGCACACATTTACAAAAAGGTGCCGAATATTCCATTTTCACCCTATATGTTTACCACGATTTGTAATAATAATAATACTAATTTACAAACATGTGTTGTATTTGGTTCGATATCAACAAGTAAGATTACTAAATTAGATATTGAATAGGTAATTGAAAGTATCCTGAATATAGTTTTAATATGCATCTTAATATATACAGACGTATAAAAGAATAGAACATTATTCTTTTATGTTCGTTTATCTTTAATTTGAACACATAATGGTAATATGAAGATTTCATATTGTATTTTTATTATAGGTTATTTAAATTTAATGGTTGTATTCATGAGTCAATCTACACTAGACCATGATTGAAAGCCTAGAAACACTGGACGACCGTTTCGTCCTAGTATGGAACTTCTCAACAGTGCATATTCATGATCTCACACGTGCGACTAAAACATAGGAACTTTGGTCCGATGTGTGAACGCATAACCTCTAAACCACTGAGTTAATATCCAACGGTGTTAATGTCTAAGTTTAATCGATCCATGATCTTGCGCAACCCTTCATCCATTGTCTGAGGTGAATAACTATCTCAATCCGAAACGGATGCGCACTGATGAGGAGTTCAATGCTAGGACGAAACACCCGCCCAGTGCTTTCAGGTTTTCCATGGTGGTCTAGTTTAGATCGACTCAAGAATTCAACTACTAAAACTACTACAGTCTTTACAAATCCACATTTTGCTATTCAATTTTTATTTCAGCTTCTTTCTTTTGTGCACATGTTCATTTAGCGGGACTCACTTTTTAAAGAAAATATTTAATTTCAGAAATATATTACACATTAATGTTGTATTTTAAAAGAAATTAGGTCATATGGCTGTTGGATATTCTGTGAGTAATAGAAGTAATCGATAGTCTACAACGTATAAAATAGTGATAAATAATGATGAAGCGGGAATCCTAATAAGATAACCTAGTGTCGTACTTAAAATACAAAACAGCTTTTGATATAATTGAATAAATTCGGAAAAATAATATTTACGACTTATCCATAGTTGTTACAGGGAAATATATAATAATAATGATATACTAAGTTGGATTTTAATTTTAAAAATTGTCAGTGAATGAAGAAATGTTTTGATTAAACAATAATGGTCAAACGGGAAAAAACTCTAACTGTTAGAAATAAAATATCATTGCTTTTTTGTCATAGTAAATTAAGGTTAGTGAAGCGTTAATGATCAGACTTCACTAAAAAGCGTTAAAACAATTATTAATCATGTATTCACTAATTACTGTTATCAAGATTGCACTTCAAAAAAGTTATAACAGGAACCTGTAACAAGTAGATCCACTCGTCACAGGTAACAAATTGGCTAAGTTTAAGAATATAAAAATTATCAGTTCTTGGTGTAATGGCTGTTGTGTACTATGAGACTTGAAAGTTTTAGTTTTAATCATATGTGTAATTGTTGAGGCACATTGTTGATGAATTAATAACTAAGAAGAAACAACTGCGTATTACTTCTTGATTTTCAGTGGTTCTCATTATGGGATTAGATGATAATGAAGTAACACATGATAATTTTTTGAATGTCTCCATAAAGCATTTCATTTTATAAAGAAAGGTAAAGAAAGGTCTTTTGTCTTCATTATCTAATAAAAGCATTTCAGTTGATGTTTCAGCTTAACTGGTTTCCTAACAGCATTTGGATAACAAAGTGAAATATATATCTTCACAGAATCCTTGAGGGAATTTTCAACTATTATTCAATGTAGAATAAATGGAATGTAGTTAGTAATGGAATCCAGGAAGTGAGTTTCATCCAATATGGTACTCGTAAGCTGGATGTACCTAAATTCGGTTCTTGCAACTAGTTCCGAATAGGGAGAAACGCGGGTTCTGGATTCCACTAGTAATCACCTCCCATTCATTCTATTCTAACTTATGCTGTAATGGCTATACCGAGGCGATCCGCACGGCATGCTTATATGCTAATCAAGACTGATAAAATTTCGGTCAAAACATCAATAACAAGATGATCCAATTTATTGATTTCTACGTTTTATTTTGGAGATATTTATCACGTTATTCGATATCATATAAAATATTTTTCAAAGCTGCAAACTATTTGATTTGATTAAGCAGGATTTCATATATATATATATATATTTCAGAAGGGGGTTTGTAGAGGTATTAGTGATTTAATAGTTAAATTCATGAGCCAATTAAAGCTAAACCACTATGGAAAACTGGAAGCACTGGACGGCTGTTTCGTCATACTGTGGGACTCCTCAACAATGCACATCCACGATCTCACCTCGCGTAATTCGAACCTAGGGTCTATCAATCTTGCGCGCGAACTCAACTTCTAGACCACTGAGCACGCCGGCATCCAACGGTGTTAATATCTATTTTCGACCAATCCGCGGAATTGCGCCACCGTCCACCATTGTCTTCAGTGAGTTACTGTATCACTCCAGACCTGGTTGAAATTCACTGGTCACGGCTTCTCATTAGAACTCCAGAAAACACCTATGGAAGCCAGTTGCTAGTGAGATAGTAACTCATGGTATATTTTATTTAGATAGCTGTGAGCTAGATCATGAATTATATTGAACAGTTCAAGACTAGTTGTAAAGTATATATTTTAAATAGAATTCCTTGAATAATGTTATTTTTCATTTGGGTTCATCTATCAAATATAAAATGATTATTGACTATCATATATAATTGTTTAAGTAATATGTATCACATTAGTGAAATTATTTCTTTCTTGTTATGTAAAAAAATCATAATATTGACACATGAAACATACATATTCTCTCTGTCTCTCTCTATTACATATTTATACACTTTTGTAGATGACAATAGTTGTTAACATGATATTTGTGAACAAGAAGATTATTCAAGACAGAAGATATGTTTCATATCATGATAATCACTAACATCATTATATAATTAATCTACAAATGATGTCTGAAATATATGCTAGATGTAATTGTGTCAGTGTTTCTTTACAGTAGCTCAGATTAACACTATTACACAGTATATTTATGAATTCTACAAGAAAAATCTCAAAGAATTAACAAATAGAATGAAATCGGTGAAAGTTAACACGAGTATATGTTTGTATGTTTAGTTGCTAACGTGTAAAGTCAGTATTGGACTCTTTCACACTCGCCAGGATACAATGACAGATACCATAGCGTTGGTTACATGGATTCTGTTCAGTAGTATTAATTTTCTTCTTTATGCTGTTTTCATTTTTCTTGTCTTGAAATCGTACACTTACCACACGGCTTAAAGTGTTTTACTAGTAAAAACGTGGTGGTAGGGTATAAAAGGAAATTCCACTTATCTAATAGGTAATGTATGTGTGTGTGCACACTCAATTGTAAACTAGATGTTGTGAAAGTGAAGACCAACTCTCATAGTGATGGTAAAGATAATAATGAGAAGAAAGGTAAAATACGAGCATTTCTAGATCGTTTAAATATTTCATGTCTATTGACTTTAATGTCCCTTTTTACTACTACAGATGATTATTATGATAGTATTGCTAATAAGAATAATATATGGAATGGCGCCAATTTAGACAGACGTACAAATCAAGCAGATAATTTTTGTCACTTCTGTATATCGTAAATTTGCATGTATTTAAATATGAAAGCAATGATGTGCATGTATGCATTCGCGCATATGTGTATGTACGTTTGTACAGGCCTAGTTACTTAGCCATCTATTCATTCGTAAATTCATAAATCTAGTTAGTCATAGAAGTAGTTATAAGTCAAACATGTTAAAAAAAAAGTGAAAATAACGTAAAAAAAAAACTGTTAAAAACTACGCGAATTAGGAAAAAAGGCATGGTTGAAACAAGCTGTAACAAGTAACTTAGCAATTAAATGTAAAAAAAACATTTGTACACAATAGCCAAAACCCCAGGTAGTAGCAGTTATGTAGAAGTGTAATTGATAGGCAAAGTTATGGCAATAAACCTTATTTCTTTCTCAGCTTTCTTTTAAACCATTTATCAAATCACTAATAATCGGTTAAATGTTTTAACAACATGCTTACAAGACAAGTTTTACTTGTAATATATGTGTAAAAGAATCACCAAAAAATAAACGACAGCTAACAATAACAATGATAATAACAGAAAAAGCAAAGACAGAAATAGTGTGACTTGTCAAGACATTTATGTACACGTCGTATTTTCTTTTTCTTTCTAAAAAAAGGCGCCAACATTTGCAGATTACTTGTCAAGACCAATTAACGCTAAAATATAAGTGATAAGTTTTTTGCCTACATATACCCAATAATCATAAATAAAACTGTGAAACTAAGAACGAACAAAAACTTGACGTAAAGGTTTGTTATTTGTACAATTGTTTATTTATTAGAATGAAAAAAAGGAATGAGGAAATTCTTTTCAATCTATATTTCAATAATTAGCATTTTCTTATAAATTGAAGTGGAAAACAGTAGACGATAGTTCAATTTTTATTAGATGGCCTATTCATTCTGTTTGCCGTAAGTGATATATATCGACAGACATAAATAGATTGTGACACCGATCATAATTTGAATTACTGGTAGCAGAAGACTAAGAAGATCGAGTTGAAGAAAATAGAAAGGAATTGTGAACTGGAAGGATTTTATAAAGTGTGAATGACAAAAGATGGAAGTGTGCAAATGAAGCATTCAGTATATGGTTCTCATACTTTATCAAAACATTCTGTAATTTGTATTAAAATAGCTTGATTGTCCCCATCTGTGTTCTTGTTCATAATATACATATACCTATTGATTTGCAATTCAAGAGTTAAGTTGGCAGATTATTTATTATGGTTTAAGTTACATTCGTGAGTATATCCCAGAATGATTTATTCAATAGGAATTTATAACAATTACGTTAATTATTATGTAGTATCTGATACAATTATAAATCGAAATGAACATTTCTAATGGAATAGTTCATTTTAAGATAAATACATTCAAGTGATATGAGCTTAATAAGAAATAATAAGAGAATGTGAATGTTTATTAAATTTTTCATGTTGATAAAATTAATGATAATAATATTAATAATACATATATGAAGATATGTAAATAAAAGCAGTATTTGAATGAGATAAATATAAGTTATGAAAATACAAAGAAAGTTATTAGATGGTGGTTGGACGTAGTCAACAGGAAACCCTGGACCCGAGTTTCGTCTTACTTGGCACTCGTCCTGTTGACTACCTCCAACCACCATCTAATCTCAACATAGTGCACTCAATGTCAAGTCGCCTAGACTAGTGGACACATTGCAACATGATCGATAACATTCGATCTGCACTAAATAAGGACTTGAAACACATGACATTGATCACCACCCAGTGATCAATCGATTGTGAAAAAGGTTATCTTATAGGTTAGGTGGTTAATAACTTATTGAATCCGAAGTTAGTTAATGTAAAAGAAATGATTGAATATTTTTTCTTTTTACACAAAGCTCCCACTTTTTTAGTTTTCTACGTGTATTGCTTCTATCGTTTTAAGAACTGTGAACTTGAGTTTTCTACTGGGTACATGATCAGTTTTAGTGAAGTGGGCTAGAATTATGTTGTTAATAGTTTTAACTATACGTATAACTATATATATATATATATATATTCACCAGGATGAAAACGTAAACTTTCTGAGCACCAAATGACGTAACTTACTTCACAAGAGGAGAAGAAATGAATAATGAAAAGGCAGACGGTCTAGGTAATTAGTTTTTTGATCTCCATTTTACCATCAAACTAGTAAGAAATACTTGTTGAAGTGCTCTGCGTAATCTCTAGAGTGATGTTCCACTGGCTACATCACCTCAGATTTTAAGATGTATTCCTGTCATAACAACTTTATTAATAATTCTAAATTTATTTGGTATAATTGTAAGAGATGTATTTAACTTAAAGTTAGCTATTCTTTTTAGAGCATTCATTTGAACTTGTGAATGTAGAGTCTGGTAAAAATTTGAAAAGCAGTATATTCTTTATTCATACATATGACAGGAATTTTCAAGTATTAAAATTTTTATATCATCATTGAACAGTAGGAATTATCCCAGTGTCAATGATATTTTCTGAATTCTGATTAATCCTAGTCAGTTTATTTACTTCCTGTGAGAACATCTTCTATATAACCATTTTTGTCATAGGTTTTATAGAACAGTTGGATTTCGGATAGCAGTTGAATCCAGAACACGTTTCAGTTCTACTTGGGATTCATCATTCGTCTGTATCTAAATCCAAAATGAGTTGGGCGTTCGAAGCGAAAGACAGTCGATTATAGTATCTGTATGAACAGTTGCACTGGTTGAAGGTATATCCAGATAATGAGTCCTAAATAAGACGAAACGAGAGTCCCAGATCCCATTACTGGCTACAATCTCTCTATATAAACTCTTTTTTATAATCAATGAAAATATAAGGTTGGATATTTTGGTTGATCATCAAACAAATTAAATCCCAAAATACTCTAAGCATTGAATAGTTATTTTGACATAATGCCTAACTTGGACGATATAAAAATGTTAAATGAAAATCAAATAAATAAACACCATTCTTACTACTTTATTTACCCCAACAACAACTGAAATAAAAGCGCCAGTAATTGAGAAGAGAATTGACACAACAATAAACAAACATGCATCACTTACATTTTCGCCTCTCTCCCATTCTTCCAACAAAAACCAACAAGAATAAACAGAAATTAATTATTAATAGTATTTAAAAGGCAGCTGTTTACAATGTGTAAGTAAATGTTAAAATGAATGAAATCAAACAACTGTTGAATGCTTTCTACCACAAACATGAGTATTTAGTTAATATATATTTAAAAATAGAATGTTTCTTCCTAGTCTCATTTTCTTTTAAATGGTGCCAATAACTAGCATCCATGACATATGATTAACGATTTGACATTATATCTCTGTGGTGTTAAAATAAATTGTTTACAATTTTATTTCATTTATTTAGAATGAATTATTATTTTTTTGTTGGGACACAACTCACAATTTAAAATAAATATTTCTATCATGAACTAACCATTTCGACTGAAAAATTAATGAGTCGATCTAATCTAGACCACCAGTTGAAACCTGGAAACACTAGATGGCCATTTTGTCCAAATATGAAATTCCTGAGTAGTGCATATCCACGATCTTGTACACGTGATTATAATCTTTACAAACCTCCATTTCGACTTAAGAATTATTGAAAAATCAGACACGTGAGCGATTTCCATTCGGTCAAAATTACTCTGAAATTAATGGTCGACTTAGTTTTGAAGTAAATTCTTCGACATTTTTCGATTGGTAGAGTGGAAATGATACATAACTCTTGACATAAATCAAGTTCGTAAGTGTACATATACAACAATCCACCTACAACAATGAATGATAGAAAACTAGTTTTGCTAAGTTTTCAGTTCAATGATTCGATATTATTTAATTAAATGTGAAATACAAAGATTGTCAGGATATGCTGATGTGGTATCCTGAACTGGAACAATAGTTCTCCATATTAAAAATATAAATATACTTCAATAGCACAATGAATTTTGTTGATTTACAGTTTTATGAATAGACCATTTTGTACAAATTAGGTGACAGACTATGATATTGTGAAATGTCAAACACAAATTGATGTGTAACACATCTACTCTTTCTAAAAACTGATATACTTAAATACCAAGAGTGATTTGCAATAACGCCACCATACCAGAATATACCAAACCCTCCGAATCACAAGGATAAAGAACGAGTCATTGCAGACATACTGGCACGATTCAAAAAACGAATAACAGGAAAAGAGCAGTCAGCAATAACCTAAGGAAAGCAGAAGCTCGAGCACAGACCGCATATACAGAAGCAAACACACAAGTGAAGAAGAGAATTCGAGTTGACAAGTGGCAATATGTAGAAGACCTGAAAACTTCAGCAGAAAAAGCTGATATAAGACAACTGTATTATATAACCAAGAGATTAGAGGAGAAATGAAGTAAACAAGGGTGACAAATCAGGGACGAAGAAGGAGTACCAAACATTGAGGATCAAGGTAGTGGAATAGTTGGGTCGAACACTTTGAAGAACTCTTGAATAGATCAGTGCCACCAAACTTAGTGGACGTAGAAGCAGCACGCACAGAACTTCTAATAAACGTTAACTCACCATCCGTCGAAGAAATCAGGATAACCACTAGACAAATCAAGAGAGATCAATTGAATGGGACTTACCGCTTCACAACAGCTTTCTTGACCATGAAAAAGAATTCGTTAGTGTAGCTAAGGGAACCTTGAGGAATATCCTACATTATGAATTAACTGAAATGATTGTCGTCATCCTACGGAACTCCTACAATGGACTGAGCTTCAAAGTCATGCACAAAGGCCAGCTCCTAAGTGCTCTATTAGTGAGGACTGGTGCCACGCATGACTGTTCACCCAACGGCTGAACAACTTAGACACTTTATCCCATACACAGCAACAAATAAGGACAATGACTGCCAGTCCAGCAGTGGCTTCCACAGCATTTAGCTTCACCATTCACGAAAGAAGAATCAAAATCCTGGAATACAACACATCGAGCACCGACCAAAACATACTTGATG